AGATACATTTGTTAAATCGATATAGATGGAGAAAAGGTTGGCCGTTTGCTCTTGACATTTCTCTTGTAGCTGCCTCGCAGCAAAACATCATGTCGTTGGTCCCACGTTCAACACTGGCTTTCTGGCAGGAGTCCCTGGTCAAGGTGCGTAGTGAAGCGGTTCAGTAGGGATTCTGGCGAGTATCTTTCCTGCGATTGAGAGCATGGATATACACCGGTGGTTGTCGCAGATCTGGCGGTTCCCTTTGCGCTTATACAGGTGGATTATGGAAGCATATTTGTCCTGCCTCAATTTTGTTGACTTCAGTGTTACGAATATGTAATTAAATTGCTTGTGTGTTGGTTTTAAAATCTTTTTTATTTCATTTTTTTATATTTTATTGCAATGATCATTTTCACGAGATTCGATATTTTTGAAAAATATTCAGTCTAATTTGAAGGTAAAAGGTATTACATTATCATTATTTTTTTTAGCTCACTTTATTTCTTAGATCTTGTAAACATCGGGTGAATACGATTGGCTATTACCAAAGTCATTTTCGGCCCACGTCTTAGTTAAGTAGTAAGCAAGCATCACTTTTTTATTTCCAGTGCGAGAATTTGATTCTTTGATATGGCTATTCTAGCCTACTTGAAAAATGATACTTTTTTATTGCGCAATTAAGTGATCATGTGACACATCAAAGTATCGAAATGACCTTTTTAGTTGGGTTTAATACTTGTGTCATATTGAAATCTAAGCAGTCATATTCTTACACATCAGAGCTCAGGGTGTTTTTGATTGTTGATGCCATCTTCTTTTGAAGTTAATCTATTTTTGGAATTTAATAATTCATTCTCTACAAACTACACAAGTACTTCTTTTTTTTCCCTAAATTTTCTGGGACAAAAGATTTTCAGTTAAATTTTTTTTGAATTCCAAACGTAACATTATAAATTGTGTTTCAACGAGAAACTGTTGCCATCAGTACAACGACCTCGTCTAACGTCATTATCTTCCGTATTGGAATTTCATCGAGATTCGAACCTAAATTCAAATTAGATGTTTCAGTGATAGAACATATTTTTCGATTAAATTTTAGATTATATTCACAAACCATAAGTACTATTTCATATTTTTACTTTGCTTTCTAGGCAAATAAACTATTTTGTTAAAATCTACAAAGCTTTTTGACTTCACTCTTTTCTTTTCTTACTTTTGTAAGAGCTTAAACATAACATTCAGTCATATTGCTACGATGTATGCAGTGTGGCAGTTTATAGTGATGTTTAGCACAGGGACATCATGTCGCAGACATGTAGCATGATGTCACACTCAGTCACATTATCCTGCCACAAGGCCGACCTGTCCTAACACTGACCTCTTAATGCTGAGAGTCAAGCGAGGCAGCTGTTAGTACCATTTTTATAAAACTTTGTTATGACTTAGCCGTGTATCGAACCTACAACCTCCGCATCTGAGGCGGACGTTCTAACCACTAGGCTACCGGAGCGGTGCTTTACTGATGGAAGGGAAACTTATTACAGATAATATAAAGGCATGTTGGACAAGAACATATCTTTTAAAAGAAATAGTCGATTATGTGGAAATGTATTCTAAAAGAAGACAGATATGTAACTGTCAGAGAGAAGCAGATAAGTTTAATATTTCACACGGAAATGATACATAAAGTTGTACCAAGAAATTAGGAATACGCACGGTGTTCATACCATTTGGGTGTCCATATGGCATGATAAAGAACAAACCGATGTAAGCGTAAGATACACAGTTCATTAGTATACAGGTACAAAGTACATTCTATAATTTCTTATACAGGATTATGGAAACACTGTCTTGAATCCGAGAGCAAGAAAGCAGTATGTTACACAAATTTGTCATCGGCTATAAAACATGTCTTTCCCAAATCTGCTTGAACGGTTAAGATATTATGTTTACCAAACACGATGAGTAATTTTGAACCACATGGTACCGGAGAACACCATGCACAAAGAGAACATTTGACCCACATGGTGCCAGAGAGTACGAAACAAAAAAAATATTTTTAAATCATATGGCACCATCGAACATCGCACAAAAAATACACTTAAAGCACATGGTACCAGAGAGGACCACAAACAAAGCACGTCACACACAAAGAATACATTTAAACTACATGGTGCCAGAGAACACTTCACACAAAGAATACGTTTGAATCACATAGTACCAGAGAACACCACAATAAAATGGATAACAACATGCCACAGTGATAATTCAGTTTTAAAATTAATTATAGAAAATTACAAATATACACCAGGCACACAATGGGTATCATCGTGTGTGTATATATATATATATATATATATATATATATATATATATATATATATATATATATATATATATATATATATATATATATATATATATATATATATATATATATATATATTATTTATCATTTGATCTCACTGCGAGCGGCCGAGTGGTCTAAAGAGCTCACTTATACGGATCATTGTCATCTCACCTCCGTCTCCATGAGTTAGATGCTCGGGTACGGCCAATGTGGGTATGTCAGAAAGCTTGCCAATTGCTTCTTGTGGGTTGGTTGTTCTTTCCTGAGTTTTCCGGTTTTCTTCCTCCACCATTTATACTGGCCGCCATGTATAGCCTATCTTGTGATGAAAAATGGCGTTAAGCCCTATAATAAGAATAACTCACATTCAGAAAGGTTACATAAATATGGTTTAGAGAAAGTGGAGGTGTTGAAGGAATTTTTTGAAGTTTTCATAAGCCTTGTAGGATTAACGCGATGCGTTGCAGGAATTAATTTTCCAGAATTTAACGGCTTTCGATCATTCCACTCAAGTAGGTTTACAATAGGATCCACTTTTTGACATATGTTGTATATCTCTTATGTTAATATAATTATCTTTGAAAGATTCTCAAGTAAAGTACTTATAAAATATGACAGAGAAAAGCACATGAATCAAGAAACATATGATGTGTGTATTATCTCACTTGATGAACTTCGAGCCTGTTTTAAAATGTTGAAGCTGAATTATCCAAAAAGTGCTTGTTGAGTAGATTACATGTACAATCTTTGACTACATTGAGTAATCCTTGAGAATATTACATGTACAACCCTTGAGTTTATTTTATGCCTAATCCTTATGTATATTACATGTATGTGGAAAAAGTCATTAGAGCATCCGCCTCGGATGAGGAATGTCAAGGGTTCTAACCCCGGCCGAGTCACACCAAAGACATAAAAAAGGTATTAGCAGCTGCCTTGTTTGACGCTCAGCAATAAGAGGTTAGTGTTAGGACTGGTCGGACATGATGCCTCAGTGCTGGACATCATTATAAATTGCCACACTGCAGACATCGTTGCAATATAACTGAAGTTTTTTAAAGCTACGTTAAAACTTCAAATCACACACACACACAAACACATGTACATTTTTTGAGTATATTACATGTATAATCCCTGATTATATTACATGTATTGTCTTTGAGTATATTTATATGTATAGTCCTTGAGTATTTTACATGTATAGTCCTTGAGTATTTTACATGTATAGTCCTTGAGTATATTTACACGTATAGTCCTTTAGTATATTACATGTATAGTTCTTGAGTATTTTACATATATTATCCTGGAGTTAATCACTCGATTAGTTCTTAAGTATATTACACGTAAAGTCGTGCATTTTATGACATATTAAATGTTAAATCCATGAGTATATTACAAGTATAGTCCTTGAGTATTTTACATGTGTAGTCCTTGAGTATATTACGTATATAGTTCTGAGTATATTGTATATATATAGTCCTCGGGCATTTTACATATATTTGTATTGTTATTTAGCATTGCATATTAAATGATAAATCCTTGAGAGTTTATATATATATATATATATATATATATATATATAGATATCTATATATATATATATATATATATATATATAGATATATATATATATATATATATATATATATATAGTCCTTGAGTATTTACATGTGTATTCCTTGAGCGTGTTACAAGTGTAGTCCTTGAGTATATTACACGAGGGAAAACAGTTTTAAAATTCGCCAGCAATTTACCAAATTGAAGTGAAGAGCACAATATATGTACGTTCCAATCATCGAATTTCCTAATATGTCTAAGTGAAAGTATTAGGAATGGAAATTATTCCTGCTTTCGTACTAGCTAAGTCTAACGTCATAACTGCAAATTCCTGAACACGTACTCTGCATTGTATGCTCTTTCTGCCATAGCGTCTGGAAAGTTTGTTAATACTGTGTCACTACACAAACATAAATCAGTTGCAATATATAATTATCTGTAATAAGAAAGAAAAGTCTTTAAAATGCATTAAAATGATCTTCACACGAGACGATTCCTAATCAAGGAAAACAGATGCTCGTTACGCATGGATAGAAACAGAATTTTGAATTATTATTTTTGATGATATATCTGCATAATGGTCAGGATCCTCGTTACATGACACATGAATAAACATATCGATTAAGACTGTTTCCAAATTGTCACTGGATACCGTTACTTGCAGTCTGTTACATAAAGATAACGCGTTAAACAAATCTAGAAATAAAACTCTCTCGTTTTGTAGATGAGCTAGCCCTAAATCAGTGGTAATGGTTACCAGATAATTTGGAGTAAACATTTGGAGGCAGACTGTCCCTGGTTGAGAAATAATTACCTTGTTAAAACAAGCCCGGTCGTATTTTAGCAGTAATAGACAGTGAATCCCTTGCAGCTGTAACACGTGCGACGAGAAACTCGTGCTATGATGATAAGCAGCATAGATAGATAGATAGATAGATAGATAGATAGATAGATAGATAGATAGATAGATAGATAGATAGATAGATAGATAGATAGATAGAATGTTTTCAAACTTTAACAATGGAATTTGAACAGGAATATTACTGCAACATGATTTTGTTTTCGGAATCTTTACAGAATAGCCTAAGAACCCCAAGTCCGTTACAAATGAGACTGAACCGCTCCGGTGGCCTAGTGGTTAGAGCCTCCGCCTCGGATGCGGGAGTTCGTTGGTTCGATCCCCGGCCGAGTCATACCAAAGACTTACAAAAATGGAACTAACAGCTGCCACGCTTGGCGCTCAGCATTAAGATGCTAGTGTTAGGACTGGTCGGCCTTGTGTCAGGATAATGTGACTGGGTGGGACATCATGTTATATGTCTGCGGCATGATGCCCCAGTGCTAGACATCACTATAAACTGCCAAACTGCAGACATTGTAGCGATATGACTGAAAACTATTAAAGCTACGTTAAAAAATCTAAATCACCCCCCCACAAATGAGACGGTCTTACATGACTATCTCTCTTTGTTGTTGTTGTTGTTGTTGTTGTTGTTGTTGTGGGGTTTAACGCCATTTTTCAGTACAGGAAAGGCTATTCATGGCGGCCAGTATTAATGGTGGAGAAAGAAACCGGGAAATCACCGGAAAGAACCACCGACCCACGAGAAGCTACTGGCAAGCTCTCTCACATATCCACATTCGCCGAATCTTAGACTCGAACACACGCAGATAGAGGTGAGATGGCAGTGATCCGTAACGGACAGCGCTTTAGACCACTCGGCCACTCGGGGCCCCCTATCTCTCTTTTATAGTCCGATAGGTCATGTGGCAACCAAAATATAATAACATAGTCCGAAGAGTTAAAACGGTTAGTAATTTATTTTGCTTTAAAGAGTTCATTTTTGCTCAACCCGAATTAAACATTTAAATATAAACACTTAGATATTGAAGGATCGTTTGTGAGTATATTTTATTCTTTGGGTTCGATTTATTCGTCAGAAACTGCACATTGTGTGCTTTTTTAATTAGAAATTATCATGTGAAATATAACAAACGTATTTAAAACAATATTGTCTCATCTTTTAAGATGCCATTTGAAAATATCAAATAATATAAATATAAGCAATGTATACGTGCACCACACTCGTCTTATACTTCCGCTTTAGTCTAAAATCTTGGGCGAATAAAGCTGGTAACGGAGTCAGTTTAACGTGTATAGCCAGTATGTTGAACGAGGGAGATCATAACACAGAAGTGAAAGCAAGGAAAACAGATTAATAAATCCAAATTTCTGTTATCATCATTAATTTTGGTTAGATTTATTCGCTGAGATGAATCTATTACAGGTGAGAATCTTCAAACTTCCACTGAACTCATCTCTCTAAACGTCAATGAGATAGATCTAACGCCACATGGTCTTTCCATCTGAGTGAACTCATTGGCCGTGCCTTGTTACTTTCGCCTTGTTGAGGCACTTGCCAATGTCCGTTATAGCACGGCGCAGTCACGGGTAGTTATGAACGCAAAATTTATCGATTATATACGTATAGTTATGAGAGAAATATATTCGTGATGCATGCATGGTCAAGATGGAACAGGAGTTGGTGCTTATAGGTGGACTCGGGTTAGAAATCTCCTTAATGAACAAATTAAATTATCTGACCTGCATGATAATTTGCATTTAATAAAAATATTTTAGCATTATAAAACATTCTAATGAAGAATATTGGGATAGTACTTTCCGTTCCGTTCGAACGTTCGAAATCGCGCGCGCGCGCACACACACACACACACACACACACACACACACACACACACACAACTGTACTATACGAACGGAACACTTTTATTGGGCTCATTAGGTATTATTGGTTAGCCTAGCCTGGAATAATTCGTGCATTTTCATTAAACAAAAATGTTAAAATAAATAAAATTCCTTATCTCTAACCCTTACTAAAATAGTGACAGAGAGCAGGTAATTGTGTTTCTGTTCTTGGTACTGTAAGAACACACACACACACACACACACACACACACACACACACAAACACACACACACACACACACTGTTCATCAGGGCATGGAATAATTATGTTTCTTTCTCTTTGTTTTTATTTCCGGCTCTCACATAGCTGGGGACAACATATTGCTTCGATTTTAAGAAAATCTAGATAAAAAAATGATTTTGTTGAATGGTTCAGTTAAAGTTGAGATTTGCTATGTGATGGTAATTTTACGTGTATCTAAATAATGTATCTCGTGAAGGGCGATTAAGCTTGCACTACAAACGTCACCCTGTAAAAGAGTCTGTGCTGACGTCAAAAAGCTTACACTACAAACGTTACACTGTAATAGACGTTGTGCCTATGTTTAAAAGCTTATACTATAGTTGACACACTGTCAAAGGCACTGTACGTACGTTAAAAAAGCTTACACTTCAGATGACAATTGTCAAAGACATTGTGCTGACATTAAGAACTTGTTAATAAAAATAGCAAGTGAACTAAGGTTGTTTAATATAGTAGTTAAATATGGGTTAATGCAGCGAACGTTTGATGATGATGAAAAATTGTTATGAGAGCGAGAGAGAGAGAGCGAGGATGGAGAGAGAGAGACGAGAGAGAGAGAGAGGAGGGGAGGTGAGCGAGAGAGCAGAGAGAGGAGCGAGAGAGAGAAGGAGGAGAGAGGAGAGTATGAAAACTTGATAACAATTGAATAATATTTATGGAGTAGTGAGCATGGTAAAAATTCAGACATAAGCCGTTTCGTCTTAAAAGGAACTATTAACCTGATATGATAGCAAAAGAAAGTAAATTGATTTTATTTACATCCTATTAAGGTTTTTAAAATGTGGATTTGGTTCGAAATGTTACAATCTTATTGGAGCCATTGTTGATACCTTGACCTTGTCAAAACAGGTGGATTTATGATTTTAATTTGAGAAGCTGGAAATTAACTTAATATAGAGTGAGTGGTTGTAAAAAGGATCGGATCGAAAATGATAGGATCTGTTAATTATTTTTAGTCTCGGTTTGTATTTAGGACAATCCTTTTGAGCCATTACGATCACAAACCTACATACTAGTGTATTTCTCAACAAGGCGGCAATGAAGGCTATTGAATTTAATTTATATAAAAAAAAATTAGTTTAACTATGATTTGGTAATATACATAAACAAAAAAAAATGCATCATGTTTCTATTAGTTAAAATCCATGAATTTCATTATTACTTATGGAGAGGTTACAGTTGTAAATAAGATCAAAATCTAAACTGTAATATAACAATTTATGTTATTGGTGCTAAAACTTGTTGGAAAGGCTGTATATGAAAAATTTCTTTATTAATAGAATATTATTAACATGACTCAATATTTATTCCCTTTTTAAACACTCGTTTAATGACAACAATTTCCATTTTGTTCTACAATAGGAAATAAAAGGTTGTAATGAAACGGCGTATCTTACAGTTAAACAGTGTAGGTAAGTAATCTGTTTTTATTCAGATTTGTATTAAATGGTTTATGTTTACGAAACGCGTTTAGTCGCTGTTAAGTCATAATGGCAACATGAATTTTTATCTGTTTAGAGAAATTAAGCCTAGATTGATTTGATCAGCAAAAGCATAGATACTATGTCTGCATAAGATTGTTGTTATTTAGATAAGCATAGATTGTCTATTTCAGCATAGTATAGTATGTTGATACTGGAAGTTCAGTCTTTTGACTGCTTGAGACACAAGGAATGTGAAGCTTAAATAGTTGCTAGTTATATTTTGTTATTGTAGTTTTTCCGAGAGGGAATATTGTGTCTTTTTTGCTGTTGATTAGTCTGTTGCGTTTCTCTACAAACTGGAAAGTTATGCTAAGGACATGTCGAAATTTAAAAATTTAAAAAATGTGTATAACAATGATATGCGGAAAGGACGAAATCTATTACATTTTAATATTTATTTTTTTTATACATTGAAAAGACTATAATTGTAATAGCTGAAGTTTAAAGACGTGCGCTATTTGCGTCAATCTTATTATAGGAAAAAAGGTTTTCAAACACCTATGTTTTTTTACTCAAAATGTGATTAATTATCCATCCAACCCTTTTCTTCAAAAATAACCAGGTTTCAACTTTAGAGGAAAACCAGGTTTTCCATCATTTGTTTTTTTACCTCCAAAAAAGTTTAAATATAGTCTAAATTATCACCCACCTTTTTTTTCAAATTAAAAAGGGTTTTGATACCCTCCCCACTTTTTTTTCCCCTACTACTACCTGAAAAACAGGTATTTTGTACAAAACATAACAATGAGTTGGAATGGATAAACTCTTTTCACAGAGGTGATACATTTGTTAGATCAGCGAAGTGTGGAATACAAAATTATTCTAATGACGGAAACAGTTTTACACACGATCAGGCTGAAAATTAAATGTGTTTTGAAAGTTTTCAGTTAACAAGTGGAAATTAAACTAGCATTAGAATGAACATGATAATATTTTGTTATATTATATTTGTTTAGATACAAATTTTATGTTATATCTTTTTATGATATTTTTTTTCATACTTGATAACCCTATGGTAGAATTATGTTAAACATATTATCATAATACGAATTCAGTTATAATTTCTATATATATTTGACTCTCGTAGGTAGAGGTCTGTAAGTAGTTTTTGTAAGTTTAATGTTGTTAACATATGTTTTTTATCAAAAGTCTTGGTTACTTTTTTCCGCGTTTAGTGACACTACCCGCTATAAATAACAAAAACTGGAATTACGATAATTGCAATTATATGCAGGTCTACCTGGTAGATATGACTAATCTGAAGGATTTGTTGTAGTTAATTATAAATTTTTTAACGACACGTGTTTTTTGTGATTATATTTGTGTATTGTATTAGTGGTCATCTGGATGAAATATTTGAAATATGATTAATAAACTGTACTTTTTTTTTCATTCTATAATTGATACATAGTTATGTTTGGTTTAAAATAATAGATTGGTTGAAGTATCAATTTCAAAACAGAACAATAATTAATTTACGTTTTATTATGTTCAAGTACAAATTTTCTTCGCATTTTGGTTTATTATTAGATTTATATTCGTGAGTATCTTTTCGATGATGAGATAGGAATTGGTAGATATTTTTAAACTTTGCAACAATGTAGCACGAAATTATCCAGTAAACTTCTGCTTGATTTTGATAGAATTATTTTGCCTCGTCATGTACTAGACCAGTTGAACAGGATACACAATATTTTT